GCATGGAATATGCTTCCATTTGTTTGTGTCCTCTTTTATTTTGTTGAGCAGTGGTTTGTAGTTCTCCTTGAAGAAGTCCTTCACATCCCTTGTAACTTGGATTCCTGAGTATTTTATTCTCTTTGTAGTAATTGTGAATGGAATTTCACTCATGATCTGGCTCTCTGTTTTTCTGTTCTTGCTGTATAGGAATACTTGTGATTTTTGCATGTTGATTTTATATCCTGAGACTTTGCTGAAGTTGCTTATCAGCTTAAGGAGATTTTGGGCTGAGACAGTGGGGTTTTCTATGTATATAGTCATGTCATCTGCAAACAGGGACAATTTGACTTCTTCTTTTCCTACTTGAATTCTCTTTATTTCTTTCTCTTACCCGGCTGCCCAGGCCAGAACTTGCAATACGATGTTGAATAGGAGTGGTGAGAGAGGGCATCCTTGTCTTGTGCTGGTTTTCAAAGGGAATGCTTCCAGTTTTTGCCATTCAGTATGATATTGGCTTTGGGTTTGTCATAAATAGCTCTTATTATTTTCAGATACATTCCATCAAATCCTAGTTTATTGAGAATTTTTAGCATGAAAGGCTGTTGAATTTTTTTGAAGGCCTTTTCTGCATCTATTGAGATAATCATGTGGTTTTTGTCATTGATTCTGTTTATGTGATGGATTACATTTATTGATTTGCATATGTTGAACCAGCCTTGCATTCCGGGGATGAAGGTGACTTGATGATGATGGATAAGCTTTTTGATGTGCTGTTGGATTCAATTTGCCGGTTTTTTATTGAGAATTTTAGCACTGATGTTCATCAGGGATATTGGCCTAAAATTCTCTTTTATTGTTGTGTCTGCCAGGCTTTGGTATCAGGATGATGCTGGCTTCATAAAAAAGAATTAGGGAGGATTTCCTCTTTTTCTATGGATTGGAATAGTCTTCAAAGGAATGGGACCAGCTCCTCTTTGTACCTCTGATAGAATTCAGCTGTGAATCTGTCTGGTCCTGGAGTTTTTTTGGGGAGTAGCCTATTAATTATTGCCTCAATTTCAGAACCTGTTTGATATTGGTCTACTCAGAGATTCAGCTTCTTCCTGGTTTAGTCTTGAGAGGGTGTATGTGTCCAGGAATTTATCCATTTCTTCTGGATTTTCTAGTTCATATGTGTAGAGGTGTTTATAACATTCTCTGATGGTAGTTTATATTTCTGTGGTATTGGTGGTGATATCCCTTTTATCATTTTTTATTGCATCTATTTGATTCTTCTCTCTTTTCTTCTTTATTAGTCTGGCTAGTGGTCTATCTATTTTGTTGATCTTTCAAAAAACCAGCTCCCAGATTCGTTGATTTTTTGAAGGGTTTTTTGTGTCTCTATCTCCTTCAGTTCTGCTCTGATCTTAGTTATTTCTTGTCTTCTGCTAGCTTTCGAATTTATTTGTTCTTGCTTCTTTAGTTCTTTTAATTGTGATGTTAGGGTGTCGATTTTAGATCTTTCCTGCTTTATCTTGTGGGCATTTAGTGCTGTAAATTTCCCACTACACACTGCTTTAAATGTGTCCCTGGGATTTGGGTACGTTATGACTTTTTTCTCATTGGTTTCAAAGAACATCTTTATTTCTGCCTTCATTTCATTATTTACCCAGTAGTCATTCAGTAGCAAGTTGTTCAGTTTCCATGTAGTTTTGTGGTTTTCTTAATCCTGAGTTCTAATTTGATTACACTGTGGTATGAGAGATAGTTTGTTGTGATTTCTGTTCTTTTACATTTGCTGAAGTGTGTTTTACTGCCAATTATGTGATCAATTTTAGAGTAAATGTGATGTGGTACTGAGAAGAATGTATATTCTGTTGATTTGGGGTGGATATCTATTAGGCCTACTTGGTCCAGAGCTGAATTCAAGTCCTGAATATCCTTGTTAATTTTGTGTCTCATTGATCTGTCTGATATTGACAGCGGAGTGTTAAAGTCTGCCATTATTATATGGGAGTCTACGTCCTTTTGTAGGTCTCTAAGAACTTGTTTTATGAATCTGGGTGCTCCTGTATTGGGTGCATATATATATATATATGTATAGGATAGTTAGCTCTTCTTGTTGAATTGATCCCTTTACCATTATGTAATGGCCGTCTTTGTCTCTTTTGATCTTTGTTTTGGTTTAAAGTCTGTTCTATCAAAGACCAGGATTACAATCCCTGCTTTTTTTTTTTTTTTTTTTTTTGCTTTTCATTTGCTTGGTAGATCTTCCTTCATCCCTTTATCTTGAGCCTATGTGTGTCTTTGCACATGAAATGAATCTCCTGAATACAGCACACCAATGGGTCTTGACTTTTTATCCAATTTTCCAGTCTGAGTCATTTAATTGTGGCATTTAGCACATTTACATTTAAGTTTTATATTGTTATGTTTGAATTTGATCCTGTCATTATGATGCTAGCTGGTTATTTTGCCCATTAATTGATGCAGTTTCTTCACAGCATTGATGGTCTTTACAATTTGGCATGTTTTTGCAGTGGCTAGTACCAGTTGTTCCTTTCCATGTTTAGTGCTTCCTTCAGGAGCTCTTGTAACACAGGCCTGGTGGTGACAAAATCTCTCAACATTTGCTTGTCTGTAAAGGATTTTATTTCTCCTTCCCTTATGAAGCTTAGTTTGACTGGATATGAAATTCTGGGTTGAAATTTATTTTCTTTAAGCATGTTGAATATTGGCCCCCACTCTCTTCTGGCTTGTAGGGTTTCTGCAGAGAGATCCGTTGTTAGTCTCACAGACTTCCCTTTGTGGGTAACCCGAGCTTTCTCTCTAGCTGTCCTTAACATTTTTTCCTTCATTTCAAACTTGGTGAATCTAACGATTATGTGTCTTGGGGTTGCTCTTCTCGAGAAGTATCTATGTGGTGTTCTCTGTATTTCCTGAATTTGAATGTTGGCCTGCCTTGCTAGGTTGGGGAAGTTCTCCCAGATAACATCCCAAAGAGTGTTTTCTAATTTGTTTCCATCCTCCCGGTCTCTTTCAGGTACACCAGTCAAACGTAGATTTGGTCTTTTCACATAGTCCCATATTTCTTGGAGGCTTTGTTCATTTCTTTTCACTCTTTTTTCTCTAATCTTGTCTTCTCACTTTATTTCATTAATTTGGTCTCCAATCACTGATCACCTTTCTTGCACTTGATCAAATTGGCTATTGAAGCTTGTGTATGCTTCATGAAGTTCTCATACTGTGGTTTTCAACTCTGTCAGGTCATTTAAGCTCTTCTCTACACTGGTTATTCTAGTTAGCCATTCGTCTAACCTTTTTTCAGGGTTTTTATCTTCCTTGTGATAGAACATGCTCCTTTAGCTCAGAGAAATTTGTTATTACCAACCTTCTGAAGCCTACTTCTGTCAGCTCGTCAAACTCATTCTCCCCCCAGTTTTGTTTCCTTGCTGGTAAGGAGTTGTGTTCCTTTGGAGGAGAAGAGGCATTCTGGCTTTTGGAATTTGCAGCCTTTCTGCTCTGATTTCTCCCCATCTTTGTGGTTTTATCAACCTTTGGTCTTTTATGTTAGTGACCTATGGATGAGATTTTGGTGTGGATGTCCTTTTCGTTGATGTTGATGGTATTGCTTTCTGTTTGTTAGTTTTCCTTCTAACAAACAGGCCCCTCAGCTGCAGATCTGTTGGAGTTTGCTGGAGGTCCACTCCAGGCCCTGTTTGCCTGTGTATCACCAGTGGAGGCTGCAGAACAGCAAATATTGCTGCCCAATCCTTCCTCTGGAAACTTCATCCCAGATGGGCACCCGCCTGTGTGAGGTGTCTGTCAGCCCCTACTGGGAGGTATGTCCCAGTCAGGCTACACAGGGGTCAGGGACCCACTTGAGGAGGCAGTCTTTCCATTATTGGAGCTCAAACGCCATGCTGGGAGAACCACTGTTCTCTTCAGAGCTGTGAGGCAGGGACGTTTAAGTTTGCAGAAGCTGTCTGTTGCCTTTTGTTCAGGTATTCCCTGTCCCCAGATGTGGAATCTAGAGAGGCAGTAGGCCTTGCTTAGCTGCGGTGGGCTCCACACAGTTCGAGCTTCTGGGCCACTTTGTTCACGCTTTGAGCATAGAACCACCTACTGAAGCCTCAACAATGGCCGACATTGCTCCCACTGCCAAGCTCTAGCATCCCAGGTCAATCTCAGACTGCTGCGCTAGCAGCAAGCAAGGCTTCTTGGTTGTGGGACCCACCTAGCCAGGCATAGGAGGGAATCTCCTGGTCTGCCAGTTGCGAAGACCATGGGAAAAGCACAGTATTTGGACATGAGTGTACCATTCCTTCAGGTACAGACACTCATGGCTTCCCTTGGCTAGGAAAGGGAAATACCCTGACCCCTTGCACTTCCTGGGTGAGGTGACACCCCACCCTGCTTTGGCTCACCCTCCATGGGCTGCACCTACTGTCCAACCAATCCCAATAAAGTGAACCAGGTACCTCAGTTGGAAATGCCGAAATCACCTGTCTTATGCGTCAATCTCACTAGGAGCTGTAGACCGGAGCTGTTCCTATTTGGCCATCTTGGAAGCGCCTCCCCAAGGAATCTGTTTTTAACAGGATCACTCAGAAGAGTGGGGAAAAGATGGTTTTAACAAATAATTTGGAGCAAATAGTAACTAAACAAGAAAAAAAGTATTTGGATTGAATAACATTGCTTGTTTTATGTGGTGCAACTGCATGTTACTCTCTTCATGATACATTTCTGTAGGAGTGATAAATTTTTAATGAAAATAGAAGGAATGTTTTAAATATGCATTTTCCAAGGTGCCCTATTACCTGTGTTGCTACACTCTATGGACTATCTTATTAATAAGCTTTTCTTAGGTATGTAATCTTCAGGATGTCTTTGTGTATTTCCAACATCTCTTCTTCCTGACTCAAGCCCATATGTCATGGTTTAATGATAGTACTGTAACTAGTAATCTGGGCAACTAATGTGAATATGCCCTCTATCCCATTGTGGCAGTGATAAAGCTTTGTCCAATCATTTTTCAGGTACGTTTTACATACTTTGGAAAAAAAAAAAAAACTTTGCTGAAGGTACTAGAGAAGAGACAGTTCTGCTGACAACCCTTGAGAAAATAATTTTCTACCTCCTTAGGATTAGAAGACCAGTTCATTCTTAGTGTCTTCTGAAATAAAATTAGGTAAGAAATGTTTTTCTTCTTATTTTGCGTAATTTGTACTGTGCTTACTCAATTTCCTTGAAAGCTTCTATAAATCTCTTCCTTTGGCCTCTAAGAGAATACAGTTAGCATTCTCCTTTAGGAAGTCAGTGTGCCAGCCAGCTGTCAGCTTTATGATTTACCTGATCTCCAATGTTAGGGAAAACACAATTCGATTTTTAACCAAGTCTTCTACACAACACTGCAGCAGGGCCACCAGCATCTCTCTTTATGTTCCTTTCTTTGAAATTCCCCATTCTATGCAAATGGTATACTTTTATTTTTAAATTCTTCAGGTGAGATGAAACCACCACTAACTGACTTTACTTGTCTTTAGTTCAAAATCAATGAATTGAATGAAATAATTAGTATTTTTGTTACCCTTTCTTATTTCTAGGAAATAAAATGCCACTGCTTGTTTAACTTGTGACTTGTCTAAACATGTTGAAAGCATTGACTATAAGGCATAACACTCAGACTCTGAAAGGAACTGTGACAAGTTCAGTCAAAAGGGAAAAGAAGAATAATTTATAAAAGGTGCTGCAGATAATGATGCCAGCCAGTTATTTTAAAATGCATCCATCTCACCTTTTAATGAATTAGATTTGTCAACAGCAAATGTTTTATGCACTACTTCTAATAAAAATGGCATGCTAGGAATGCAGTGCTTTGAGGTTGGCTTCTTCAAAGCTTTAGAGTATCTTCAATCGAAAGATATTTTTTAAATAATAGATATTAAAAAGTATATTTAAATATTATTAAGGTTGTGACACAAACACCAATGACAAAATTCAGGAGTTTCAAAGCAGAGGCTGACATGCTATCACAATTTCACATTAGAACTGTTTTTTAAATTAGGAGTATAACAGACTGATTTGGGGATTGTGTGTCAGTTTAACTTTAAATTCTCTGGTTGTTTTGGTTGGTGTCACAACCTTAATGTCAACTTTTCAAATAGGTTTCTACATTTCCTTTGGTTCGGGGTCATTAAAAAATGCATGTGATAAATCCAAGAGGCATAAATAGGTCATACAGAAGTGGAATTCCTTGCTCCTCTGGAGGTGAGAGACAGCTAATTTATAAATGGAAAACAGTTAGCTTAGGCATTTTCATTAAATTTATGTTTTTCAGTATTTGATTAAGAAAAATGTAAACTCAAATAACAAGACATGATGTTGGTATATTTCTGTTGAAATTCTATTCCTCTTGTACCTCTAATCCTAATGATTTGATCTTGTTGGTGTTATCACCTCTATAGATACAAAGAACCTCATATTTCACTATTGATATTTTTTTCACTAAGAGCACATGTTTAATTTCATTTTGTGAATGCTTGTTTGATATAATTGAGTACAGGTAAGCCCTGTCTTGGAAAGTACATCTGGCAATCCTTTATATAAAGCATTGTTATGCAGAGTTTTTGGTAAAATCTTACTATTTTAAAATAACACTTGTCATAGAAAGTAAAATGAAAGTAAAATCCTATGTGTTGTGTGTTTTTTAAAAAACCTAGTACCACAGCAGACAAAGGAGCAGCCAGGAACACCAATCTGTAGGGAAAGAGAAAGGGCAGAGAGGAAAGAATAATCCACTTACCCAGATCCCTCCCTTTTCCTTGATTCTTATCTGTCATGATTTTACTTGGCAGGTCTGTATTGCCTATGTTGAATCCAGTTTTGATTTAGAAAAATAAATGTAATAGAATTTGTACCACAATTGTTTTTTTAATCACCTATGTTGGAAAAATAAAAGATAAAGGGGTAGGCAAATTATTTATTGACCTTTTCTTGCGGACTCTTAAAGATAGCCACCAACCAAAAACACTTTCTAGCTCTCATCTTCTTGATTGAAACACCTGGCTCTGGTTTTAATCAATGACTGGGTAAACATTAGTTTTTCTTTTCTAATGTACTCCATTCTTTCTATGTCTTTATTTTTCAACAGTGTTGAAATACATTTCTTAGAGTTTTCATTTGGGAAGTTACTATGAAATTTTATCTTCATTTCTGGTGCTAACTCTACTTTTCCTACACATTAGCTTCTCTGATTTGGGGTTATTATTCAATCACTACATTTTTGATAAATAATATTCTTTTACGTCTCAGTTCTCAAAGGCAGGAAGTAATTGTGCTGCATTGTATTATAGTTTGAATATGTGTACAGTTGTCTATGAAGGCATTGATTAAATCCTCTGAATTTATTTAAACTGTAGCAGTGTTCTTCCTTGAACAAATATTTTAAATCATTGTTATTGTTGATATTAATACTAGTACTGACATATATTTCGTTGAAATAAAATTTTTTAAACTAAAATGGCTTTTTCAAAGTTCAGAGGAAGCTATTCAAATAAATGAATTGGAACTCAGTGTGTACCTGCAATATAGAAAAGTTTTCTGGCATAGAAACAAAATATGCTCTTTAAATATCATAGACCAAACCAGCTTTATGCAAATTCATTTAGAGCACTTTCAGATTTATGTATTTAATAAAGCTGGATGGTGGTTCTAACTTACGTATTTAATGTCCTTCATTGTACAGTGATGTTCTTGTGACTGCCTGGAAAAGAATGATGACATTTTATTTAGTGTTTCTGCTAGATCAATCAATTCTATAAATGTCTTTCTAATGGGATACAATATATGCTTTTAATATTTTTCAATAATACTGAGAGATAACCTTTATTGAGTTCTTTCTATGTGCTAAGACTGTTCTATGTACTATCTATGGATTATCCCATGTAATCCTGGTAACAACCCTTTAATGCTCTCACTCTTTTACTGATATAGTAGAGGTATATGAGGAGAAGGTTATACAACTAGTAAGTAATGGAGCTGGTACTGAAACATCAGCAGTGTGTTGCCAGGCACGGTGGCTCACGCCTGTAATCCCAGCACTTTGGGAGGCCAAAGCGGACAGATCACAAGGTCAGGAGTTCAAGACAGCCTGGCCAACATAGTGAAACCCTGTCTCTACTAAAAATACAAAAATTAGCCGGGTATGGTGGCACATGCCTGTAGTCCAGCTACTGGGGAGGCTGAGGCAGGAGAATCGCTTGAACCCAGGAGGCAGAGGTTGCAGTGAGCTGGGACCATTCCATTGTACTCCAGCCTGGGTGACAGAGTGAGACTCCTTCTCAAAAAAGAAGAAAAGAAACATAAGCAGTGTGACTCCAGAGTTTGAACTCTGAACCTTTCCTACTCAAAATATGATCTTCAGGCCAGCGGTGTTACCATCACCCAGGAACTTGCTACAAATGCAGAATCTCAGAGCTGCTGAAAATCTGCATTTTTAACAATGTACTTAGGTGACCAGCACATGAAAAATTGAGAAGCACAGCTGTAAACCACTATACTATTCTGCCCTTAAATTCAGAATTAAGTATCTTTTAAAACACATTTTTATTTTTCTGTATGATGCTGAATTCCTATTTGATGCTAATTTTGGAATTCCTGTCATATTTCAAGTCCTTTATAATGAGATCTAGCAACTAAACATAAACAGGGATGCAAGGTAGTCACAATTTATCTTAAAATCAATTGTATAAAGAACAGAAAAAAAAAAACCCAAACCATAAACAGAAAGCATTTATATAGAGGCAGGTAATTGTTCCAACATCTAAGACTTTCTTAAAATCCTAGTGTAGCCCACTGTCTTTGAATGTAGATTCTGGAGACAGGCTGCCTGGTTTTGAAACTCACCTCCTACTTCTAGCTGTGGAATCTCAGGAAAATTATGTAATTCTATACCTCAGCATCCTCATCTGGGAAATAAGGTCTAAAGCCACAGTCTACAGAATTGTTGTAAGGATTAAATTAGTTAATGCATATAAAGGATTTAGAAGGAAACCTCTAATGAGATAAGTGAATAAATATTAACCACTGTTGTTCTTAGCTATTATTTCCATCTTTGAATTGAATAGATTCACATCTCATACTTCTTAGCTATCTATTGGCAAGAAGTTGACAAATACTTTTCGTTAGCAGAGCTCACCACATAAAGGGGTATCTTTGCTGTTAAGAATCCAAACCACAAACCTCAGTTTTTGTATTTTCTGAAAACTGTCTTCCTGTGGCACTTCCTCTGTTCATGAGTTCTACTGAATGCCACTTGATTACGATGCTTAACCAGTTAAGTTTAGTGTAATTAGTTCAAAGTGTTCAAAGTCAAAATGGAATGTGTTAACAGTATATTATAATTTTAAATATACGTACTTCTAAACTAAGTAAAATTAATGAGTATGCAAGTGCATTTGGTCAGCCTCTTAGGTAAGTAATACGGAAAAATTAGATAAAGAATATTTGTTTAAAGGTTGAATGGACTCAAATCTGGTTTGTTTCTTTCTGGATGAACATAATTCTGAAATGATCATGATAGTCTTTAGGGGAATGATGGTTTGGTGTACAAGTACACACCTAACAACTTTTCAGAAATATACCTATGTGTGAAGTGAGCTGGCATGTTTTTGAAAAGTACCACTTTGAAAGCTGATTTGTAAAATGCATTGAGATAAAAATGCTTAGTTAAAAGGATGCCCTGGGAAACTTTTCAATTGCCAAAGAGAGTTTAATTCACTAGGTCTGGGATGGGGCACAGGTATCTGAATTTTTAACAAGTATCCCTGGTATTTTGGCTTACATTAGTTTTGGACTACACTTTGAAATACCCTGCAGTAAAGGTAAAGACATGTATTGAAATAAGCTTTTGTTGACTTCACATTCATTTTTGCAGTGTTGTCCTCCTTGGTACTGTTTTTGTCCATCCTGTGACCCGACTTTATCTATCCTTTGTCTCTTTTCCCATTCTCTGTTAGTAGATCCCAACCCTTCATTTTCTGCTTTTTTTTTCTTTTTTACCTTTTTCTTAAATATATCTCTTCTGGATTTTTCAATCATAGCTTTACGGATGGTTCTATAAAATGATCATAAATGTCTCCTTTTAATCTAAAAATCTCTAAGCCAAACTACAGATGCTGAAATCAACTT